TCTGAAGCAATGTTCCTATGAACTAGTGGTACCTTATGGAATTCTAATGTATCTTTTAGCTAATGTCCAGTTCATAGCCTCTTGTCTTACAGCTTGATGTGCATACCTCTCTTCTTCACATGTTACTGTCTCCTTTATTTTTTATTTATAATTAAAAGCACAAACTCTGAGATTTATGGATCCAGGCAGGATGGATCTTACCTACCATACTTGGCAAAATCTTCAAGGGGACAGTTCACGCTTTCTTGCCACTGCCCACTCCATCACCACATTTTTCTCCAATGTTCTCTCCCCTGTTTTAGTTGTATTAACTCAAAATTAAGCAGCTATTTGATTAGAGTACTGAATGGTGATCTTCCCTTTTTTGCGTGAATTTCTCTTGAATTTTCTTCCCTCCATCTTGGCCAGACTCTTTCTGTAATACTAGACTAGAAAAATTTCAATCTCATCTATTTCTAAAATAAAGTTATGCGGGACTATTTGAGACCTATCTTAATTGGATTCTTGGGGAGTACTGTACTCAGCATCAGGAACTTTTTGAGATAAAATCTAAGAAATTAATAATTTTTGCTCAACAGTGTTTTACCCACGTTTTTATCCATATTCTGTTCCATAATTTCTGAGGAAAATAGTCAATTCATAATTCTCTAAAGTATTTCTTCATAAGAGCTTTAAAATAAATTGAATATATTTTTAAACCTTAGTGCATACACCCCGATATAACATCACAAAACTAACCTTTGGAAAACACAGAAATAATGTATTACAAAACATTCCCATCCTTCCAAAAACAGCTAAAAATAAAATATAATAGTTTCTCTGAAGCCTAATCTAAAAGACTGTGATGTCGTAGACAGAGTGCTGATTTACTAATATAAGGGAGAAAAACTACTGTGGCTCATAAACCTTGCTGTTTCTGAGTTTCATTCTTTTCATTTTCCCAATAATAATTATCATAAGATCCACCTGTTTGTTAGAGTCAGGTTAATGAGCAAATGAAATAATGCATTATACATATGTCAAAGAAATATAACCTCTTAAAAGAAAGTTAACACAGCTAACATTCAGTAACATATCTTAGTTTACAAGTAAAACATTAGAAATACACTCAAACGATCAATTCATATTTTGGTAGACACAAATAATAATATGAATGAAGAGAACATGTTGAACACTCCAATTTTTCAAACTCTATTTAACCCATTTTTAAAATTTATACATTTGTTATTAGAACAGTATTTCCACAGATAGAAGCTGCTCCATTATTCTGAAGGTAAGTAAAAATGATAAAAAACAGAGCTGAAAATGATCCATGATGGATATACAGTGTGAGTAAGCAATATATAATATTTGTTTTAAATCACTCAGGTGTTGAGTTTTTGTGTGTGTTTATAATATGAGCTAACTATCCTTAATGACACCATAGGTAAATAAAGTAAATAAACAGCTCCTGCCTCGATATTAAGTGCTACACTAAGTGTTAATTACGGTATCCCTGGCGGTATACAGGGGATTGGTTCCAGAATTTGAGTATATAAACAAATCCACACATACTGAAGTCCCACAGTGGGTCCAGTGGAACCCTTTGTATACAAAAGGTTGGCTCTCCAGAGAGACAGGTTTTATATTCTCTCTCTCAAAAAATCTGCATATAAGTGGATCTGTGCATTTCAACCTTAGATTGTTCAAGGGTTAACTGTTTTACTGTTTTATGGGATGAGAAGGCAGAGATGACACATGAAAATTTTATGTCTAAAAATGAGGAATATGCAAATAATGCTGGGGTGGGCAAAATGGAATGTGAAGTACATAAAAGGGTAATTTGGAAGAAAATAATGCTTTTGTGAAGAAGAGAAATAATGGAATATTTGAGTATAAAACATAGTTTTATTTAGCACCCTTGCCTCATCTTTAGTATGATAAAAATAGATAAAAAATTTAGAGAGACAAAGAGGGAGGAAGCTGCTTGTGTGAACATACTCTATTGATGTAGATACTAGAGGAAATTAGCTCTATATTGGGTACTATGCTGATGAATACTTAAAAAAACTTTGAAGTGAAAGGCACTGATTTATTGTATTTGATGATTTCACTGGCATAAGTATGTCCACCATAGCAATGTTTAGCTAGCAACATGACGTAACTTCATGTAGAGTCAGGAAGAGACACACACGACTGGCTCTCATGATTTCTGCATGATCTGGCTCCAGCATTTGACTGTGACAAGTTTCAGTGGCTGGTGAGAACTCCAGAGGACAAAAGTCCACCTATAACTAACCCTGATCAGCATAACTCTTCTGAGAAACCAGCGTTCTGGTAACATTTTTCTCAATGCAACACCATCAGTACAGCAGTCAGACAAAATAGCATTCATGCACCGCTTCTCAAACAACTTTTAGAAACCATAAATGACCCATTCTTAAGAGGGGAACTTGGGGGAGGGGAATCAAGAATTGTTGTCTGAAAAGAAACCACTTTGATCTCCATCAGAACAGGTTTGTTTTTTGTTTTTTTGAGATGGAGTCTTGCTCTGTCCCCAGACTGGAGAGTGCAGTGGTGCAATCTCGGTTTACTGCAACCTCTGACTCCTGAGTTCAAGCGATTCTCCCACTTCAGCCTCCCAAGTAGCTTGGGACTACCAGCATATGCCCCCATGCCCAGATAATTTTTGCATTTTTAGTAGAGATGGGGTTTCACCATGTTGGCCAGGATGGTTTCCATCTCTTGACCTCATGATCCACCCGCCTCGGCCTCCCAAAGTGCTGGGATTACAGGCGTGAGCCAATGCGCTCAGCCAACAGATTAGTTTGAAGTCAATTTGCTGCTATCTTCATAAATAAATTTCCTTGAAAATTCCATCTTCCACACTGAGCAATGAGTCAGCAGTAGGCAGTGCTAGAGAGTGAAAAGGATGAGGATGGAAGGGCTGCAGGCAGCCCAGGTACCTCTAACGCATCCTTTTATTAGAAGACTTTTGAAAAGTAATTTGACAGAAGCTTTTCAACTTTTAGGTCACTAGTTTAAATGCAGTCTCAGTTGATGATGAACAAAAGTGGGTGGTTAGTGGCCTGTGAAAAGTACCTTCATGGTATCACCCTTGTTCTTTCTAATAGAGACTGCCACTGCAGTTGGCATTCTTTCTTTTCCTTGTACCAGAAGCACAAAGGGTGAATAGAAATGTCATTTCAAGTAGTTTTTCAGCCTTTGTACCAGAGAAATTTGAAATACGAAAAAGGCCGTATTCTTTTCATCTTTAACTCACAGGTAGAATTATTGAACTATAATATGTTTCTTAGATCTTTCTGGATTTTATTAAAATGAAGCCTGAGCCACTTTACAAGTAAAATCATGTCTTACTTCATAGAAAGTTAAATTACATAAAGGCACATACTTGAGAAATATTTAAATATAAAATGTCTATTTTCTTGAATTGAATCTTACACATGTAAAATTTATTTTGTTTTCCTTTTCTTTATTGCTTTCCTGCATCAGTAAATGAATTCCCATGAATGTAAAGGCAAAGATCTTATTCCATTAAATGGACATGTCTTAATATTTGTTTATTTCTATTCTTTATCATTACAATACTTTGACTAGTTTTTTTTTCTTTTTAAAAGAATTTGTAGGTGTTATTCCCTTTCTTTCAGTTTTTCACTAAAACCCTCCGAATTTCCATATTACTAGTATCTGTGCCTTCATATAATTTTGTTTCAATATGAAATAATCAATTAACGCAAACTCTCTCTAGGTTCCTGGAGAAAGGCAACAAAATAAATAATTGAGCAGATGCACAGAGAAGTACTTGGTAATGCCAAGAAAATTTCAGTAGCTATCCGTAATTGGTAGGATCTAACAGAAATAGCCCTGTTTTTGAAGTGAAGAAAACTCAAATCAACTGACCTTAAGCATCAGTTACTTTCTATGGGGTTAGCTTTCCACATCTCAAAAATGAGATTGATGTGTTTTGTTCTTTTTGTATCCTTTTCAATACAAATATTCCATGGAATCTTCACTTTTATATCATCCAGATTTAAGTGAGAGGGTATCAAAATTCAAATGGGATTTGATCAAGATAAAGCTGTGCCTTATGTCACATCAGCTGATGGTAAAGATTGATGCTGGGATTTTCTGGGGCAACTCATGTTATAATCTCCCCTAGGCTTCAAGGCCAGCTTCATGAATTCTCAGATCAGCAGTTCCTGCCATTCCCATGTAACACCAGAAGATAAACTCTGTTTTCTGAACATTCATATGTAAAACGATGTCATCTTATGATTCTTATGATTGGTATAGCAAAATAAAAACTGTCAACACCATATTTAGCCCAACTTGAAGCTGCATATTCAGCCAAAGATAGAGCTTTTCCTGGCCAAAGATACTTTGGTCAGAAATAAACAAACAGTGAAAATCAAGCTATCATCTTGCAAGTAATACACATACTCATGAATCTCTAGCTACAAATGAAATTATCAGCTAAAACTACCCCTTTCCTGTAAATGAATAATAAACACAGCAATTACAAGATTTGCCTATGGCCATAAAATGAAGTAGGGTTTGCCTCAGAATTAGAATGCCTACCATCAGCCTTTGAGTACAAAGTTAATTCCCCTATACAAGACTGCAGTAAAAATAAATCCAGCTGGTGCAAAGGCATACAAGACAGAAAATAATAGTCAGCTGCAGACTCTTTGGATGCAAAGTACAAAATATTCAAGTACATGTTTCCAATCCCTTCATTCTTTCCTGAAATGACTGTAGCTAATCCCTGCCAGCCAAACGTTAGTCCTTCAATTGTGGCTGTCAATAGAATAGATTAGCTATGGAAGCCCTCCATCCATATTACCCTTGCTTTCCTTCCCAGATGGAATTTTCATTCACTAAAGTAGCAAGCATATGAGATTTTTTTTCCCTCCGTACACAAATATAGACTCATTAAATGTTAAGCTTGTCACTTCAGAACTTGCACGTGCACACACACACACGCACCCCAAGGAACATACCTGTAGATTTAATAAAACAGCACCAACCCTCATGGCTTCACTAATTTCAAGGCTATACATCAGCTGTGGGAAGCGAGGAGGGCTTTGATTATTTGGTGGAAGCACTTCAATGTACACAGTGCAGATGGAGTGCCTGCAGAGAAAGAGAGGCAAACAAGATGGTTACGAATCTGTTTTACATTTAATGTTAGACTGCATTCTTTTTTCAGTGGGTGGGTTTACAGGGGAGAACATTTCCAAGGTTTATGAAAAATAATAAAATCAAAATGAAAGGATAGAAAAATAAAACACCAAAATATAATGATTTTATGAAATCATCTCAGTAAAAGAAAAGTAATTGCCTTCAGTATCTGTTTTTCCTATTTAGATGAATAGTGTGGATTAAAATTGAATAGCTCCACAAATAAAGCTAATAAATTAACTTGCCTTGACTTCTGACTTTGTTTTTAATGCTTCTCTAATAGCAAAATCATTCTATAAACATCTGGTAATAAGAGCTGTCCTTGGGGCTTCTTTTCTTTTAAACCAGCAGAGGGAGTATTGATTAAAATAACACACTAAAGAAATGATAGACTGTTTTATTCGTTCTGTTGCTGACTTTAATGGCTTGAAGTGTATGTCAAGAGTCAGAATCACAAGGACTCCTAAGTAAAATAGTTGCAAACCAAACTAAATATGTTTTAAAATCTTCTCTAAAAAGTAACATGATAAGCTAGAAATCAGATTTAATAAAGCCCTTATATTGATAGGAGATTTTCTTGAAGGACAAGATACCTTATCATTACAAGGAGAAAAAAATTAGCATTGACATAGTCAACTTTTTAGATATCTCTGAACTTCGAATTTGTTCTTATAAAACAAAAGCTGAAGAAGAAAGTTAGTTAAGGTTTGTGTGGAAACATAAACTTATGTTTGAAGTGGAAACATCGGCTGAAATTTATCAGTGAAACCTGAAAGTTTATAAGGTTAGCCCTCCATTTTGAAAAAAAATTATATATATGTATATGTATATATATGTATACACACACACACACACACATACACACACACATTTTGTACAAATATACTACCACGGCCTAAAGATTTATGTTTGGCATCTATTTTAACAAAGTCATGATTTTAATTCAAAACACATGTGTAATAATTTCTATTTGGAGGCTAGAATATTCAATTTACTTATTTGAGACAGAGTCTCCTTCTGTCACCCAGGCTGGAGTTCAGTGGTGTGATCTCGGCTCATTGCAACCCCCACTTCCTGGGTTCAAGGGATTCTCCTGCCTCTGCCTCCCAAGTAGCTGGGGTTACAGGCCTGTGCCACCACACCTGGCTACTTTTTGTATTCTTAGTAGAGACAGAGTTTTGCCATGTCGGTCAGGCTGGTCTTGATCTCCTGACCTCGTGATCCACCCCCCTCAGCTTCCCAAAGTGCTGAGCTAACAGGCATGAGCCACTGCATCTGGCCTAGAATCTTCTTAAAGTAGTCACAAACTCTTCATAACGTGCTTCAATTAAAAGACAAGGTCACCACAAATATTTGTCTGAGTTTATTAACCATTCTACTTTCCAAAATCTTTTAAAAGAAGTTCAGAACATGGACACTAAAATTTGGTTTAAAACTTGTCGCTTTAAATACACCTGAATTCAAGTTGTCTCTGAGCATATTGTCAGTAGATAGATAGCAACAAAATATTAAGCATAAAAGCTACAGTAACTTAAGAATTTCATGCTTATATTTATCATGGTATTGTTCTAAAGCAATCTCACTTTAAAATATTTGAACTTTTATAATTAGTTGAAATATCTCTATCATCTCTGCCTCTAATTTTTATCAATTTAGTATCCAAATTTGCCAATAAAATTAATCAAATTGTATTTTGTAAATAGGTTCAAACTGATGATGATAAAATGTTGCCTATACATTTATAATTATCAATGGGAACCCAAAACAATGGGAAGTTAGAAAATTAATTGTACACTGCAAAGATTCCCACTTCCCATGTTGTGAGAACAAAGGAACTGTCATTTTGAGGTAGGCCTAACATCCGTCCAAGTGGTGATCTGACCCCAACAGCAGCCCCACAATGTAAAACATTTTCCTTGAAGATCTTGGCTTATTTTAGTGTCTGTTGATCAAGTTTTTAAAACATTTTATGAATCTCTTTCTTCTCTCTGATAGCACAGTGTCTATGCATAACAAGCCCTACAACATTCTTGGTAATAACAGCAGGTGAGTGATGTTGAACATAGAATTTATAACCAAATATTTCTGGATTATAATTGGGATGCTGCCCTCAGTGATCTAGAGCAAATTAATTCTCTCGGCTTCATTATTTCCATATAATAAATGAGAATAATAACAGCTAAGATCAAAATAAACATTAAATAAGTTTATATACATGCATGTGTAAGTACATATATATATGAAACATACTTTTATCATTTATTAATAAATTACTCAGAATAAGGCTTGAAATTTCTTATTCTACTTCATGAATGGTGTAAACAATCTTGCATTTTCCTTATTTACATCCTTTTTAAAGCTTTGTAATACTTTAGACATTTTAGTTGAATCCTTTCACTTGGCTAACGTCCTACAAAGGCAGGATACCCCTTCACCTCTCCCCAGCATGGGGTATGCTGGTGCTAGAATTTGAGCATATTGGATCATAATCTTTAGGGTAGGAAACAAGAATCTAAAATTTTCACAATTTTCCAAGGTTCTACACATAGAAATTAGAATTTGAAGACCACTGGTTCATAATCTCTTGAAAAGTACAATACATAGACTCACCTGTTTTTTAAAATTACCTCAGGAAAAAACTACAAACTCAATGTCCTCAATAACGCTGGATCCAAGAGACTTCCTCACTGTTTAACATTTTTTTCACCTGGAACATACTTGTACTTCAGATTTGAAACTTTCTTTCAAAAGCTAGGCCCTTTCTGCTTCTGGTATTCTTTAGGTCTTCAGTTTACTGGTCAAGAATACTTTATAAGGGTTTTACAAAAATATCAGTGTCTTAAGGCTTGTAAAAGTATAGACCATCCTTATTTTATTTTTTATATTTCCTGATTCCTTTCCCTTTCATTATCTTCCCATTTTAGAGGGCTAACGTGTGACAGTACTACAGTAAAGACCTTAAACTCATACGAGGCACCTGGATATTTGTCACAGAGAAGAAAACTTTAAACTGCTGAAACAAAACAGACTGTAGACTCAGAACACAGACAAATTTTAGCCAACATGACGATCTCCTTGATCTGTCCTTACTCCTTTGGTTCCTCTGTCCCTTTCCACAATAATTCAAATGCTAAAATTGCTAATTATGTTTTTCCCCCTCTTGGGCTTGAATCTTGGAGTTATTTGGAGGAGATCATATATCAAGGTCTTGCATTTTTCATCTTCAACAGCCTGGCACATCCCTACAATGTGTTTAAATAAACACCAGGCTTCTTGAGGCTTATTGCCTTTTAAAATGCTATCTCCTTTTTATCCCTGATGTCAGCACAATGTCAGAGTTAGCTTTCCGAAAATTAAATACCAATAGTATTAACAATCAAATAATAGTATTAATGCTGTAATAAATAGTAGTAAGTCAACAGCGTCATTTTAAGACTTAATAAAATAGGCAGTCACGATATAAATAATAATACTTTATGTGAGCATTTTGTATTTACATTTTATAGCTAGTGCTAAATGCATAAAACTGAGCATCTATATATGACAAATTTTATTCTGTAATATAACCAGTATGATGTAGATGAATCTCCATTTCTAAAAATGAACATCATAAAGCTTTATTACATTTCATCTGGTAATAAAGGTCAAAGTAGAACAAAAGAGGTAATCTATTTCTTATATACTCCTGAAACTTACCCAATAGTCCCATAGATAGTTTTTTTTTTGTGGGGGAGAGGGTGGGGGTGATAAACATAGAAATTGACCCTTCTGGTCTTAAAGCTTGAAACTTAGATTTGTTTTATCTGAACTCCTTCCTCCAAACAACCTTCAGGCCTCCCAAAAAACTATTCAAGAACTGAAACTCACCAGATCACCACGTCCAATGAGATGTCATCCATTCATTATGATTGCTTCCTTGCCCCTCCCTAGTTCCTGTTTTCTTACATATTGTTACATTTCTTTACTGCTATATGAACCCTAATTTTAGTCAGTCAGTGAGTTGGATTTGAGATTCATTACCCATTTACTCAGCTTTAGCACTAGATTAAAACCTTATTCTTTGGCAGTAATTGTTTCAGTGATTGGCTTTTCATATGACCAGCAGCAGAATCTAGACTGAATCCCTCGTGTTTCTGTGACAGGTTTTGGTTACCTGACCAGGAACACATTGCATGTGTCTTAGCTGCCTTGAGTTGAGAGTCTCAGAAGAACTCCTAAGCAGTTGCCCACCCAATTTTTGTTGGAGATATTTTGGTTTTTCTCTGGTCCCACAACAGCTACCCCCAACTACATTCCTCATTGTCTAGTCAGAACAACGTTTAAAACTTTACATCTGCAACCAGATAGGTGAGTGTCACATCCTTTTTGGGCGTGGACAGGAGGATCCCTTCCTCTCAATTTGAGAATTTTTTTTTTTAAAGTTTTTATTTGTAGGTTGAACAAGCCCAAATGACTGGGAGTGGGAAGTGCCCTGATTGTATTAGTATGGACACTTGTAGGAAGGTTTCAGTAGGAACACCTGGGGAGCTTGTTTGTAATTGTGTGTGGTATGTGTATGTAAGCAAGTGTATATGTTTTGTAGGTACCAGACAGTGGGATTGGCTCCGCTCAATTTGAGAAATTCCTTAGGAATTTCGGGTTGTGGGTTGATCAAGCCAAACTGATAGAAAGAGGAAGATCCCAACTGTTTCACTTTGAAAAAGTTTAGGGCTCATCTGTTGTTTCAGCAGTTGGATAGTGTTGGTGATTGTCTGTGTTTGAGATACTCACAGGAAGTTAGAATTCAGTAAGCTAATATTCTTTTGAATCACTGTTTGACTGCAATGTTCTTTGGAATCTGGAGTTTGCTATTGGATAGGAAAGTGGGACAGAGTTACGTGTATCCAGATTTTCGTGCTACTGCTCTAACCAGTCGGGCCTGGTTAATAAGTGATGTTCTCTAGCGGTGCTGT